ATTACTATGTTTGTCAATCTTCAAGTGATCATTCAGAAATGGAAAAAAACAACATATCTCGAAATTTGATCCAATTAATGCAAGACGACGTTATATATGATTCAAGTAATGAGATTTATGTGAATGTATATGATCTTCTGTGTATTTATATCGAAATGTCCTGAACTGCATGGTTAATCAAATATTCCGAATGTAATGAAAATGAGTAAATATTTTTGAAAATTTCGATTACCATTCGAGAGTACATCCTATATATGGACGATTCAACCTATATATAAAGCAATGTTGCTGTTAATTAATCATTACTATGTTTGTCAATCTTCATGTGATTATTCAAAAATGGAAATAACATATCTCAAAATTTTATCCAATTCATGAAAGACGACTTTGTGTATGATTCAAATAATCAGATTTATGTGAATGTATAATATGATCTTTTGTGCATTTATATCGAAATGTCCTGGAACTGCATGGTTAATCAAATAATCGAAACCTATCGAGAAAGCGTGCCTATTTTTAAAATTTTTGATTACCATTCGGAAGTGCATCTTATATATAGCCGATTCAACCTATATATAAGACAATGTTGCTGTTAATTAATCATTACTATGTTTGTCAATCTTCAAGTGATTATTCAGAAATGGAAATAAACTACATATCTTAAATTTTGATCCAATTTATGAAAGACGACGTAATGTATGACAAATAATCAAATTTATGTGAATGTATATGAACTTCTATGTATTTATATCATAATGTCGTGGAACTGCATGGTTAATCAAATAATCGAAACCCATCGAGAATGCGTGCCTATTTTTGAAATTTTCGATTACCTTTCGGAAGTACATCTTATAAATAGCCGATTCAACCTATATATTATAAAACAATGTTGCTGTTAATTAATAATTACTATGTTTGTCAATCTTCATGTGATCATTCAAAAATGGAAATAACATATCTCAAATTTTTATCCAATTCATGAAAGACGACATTATGTATGATTCAAATAATGAGATTTATGTGAATGTATAATATGATCTTCTGTACATTTATATCAAAATGTCCTGGAACTGCATGGTTAATCAAATAAATGAATCCTATCGAGAATGCGTGCCTATTTTTGAAATTTTCGATTACCATTCGGAAGTGCATCTTATATATAGCCGATTTAACCTATATATAAGACAATAATGCTGTTAATTAATCATTACTATGTTTGTCAATCTTCAAGTGAATATTCAGAAATGGAAATAAACTACATATCTTAAATTTGGATCCAATGTATGAAAGACGACAATATGAATGACTTAAATAATTAGATTTATGTGAATGTGTATGAACCACTGTGTATTTATATAGAAATGTCCTGGAACTGTATGGTTATTCGAATATTTGAAACCTATCGAGAATGCGCGATTATTTTTTAAATTTTTGATTACCATTCAGAAGTTCATCTTATATATGGCCAATTTAACCTATATATAAGATAATCTTGCTGTTTACAAATCATTACTATATTTGTCAATCTTCAAGTGATCATTCAGAAATCGAAAAAAACAACATATCTCAAAATTTTATCCAATTAATGCAAGACGACGTTATATATGATTCAACTAATGAGATTTATGTGAATGTATATGATCTTCTCTGTATTTATATCGAAATGTCCTGGAACTGCATGGTTAATCAAATAATCGAAACCTATGGAGAATGCGTGCCTACTTTTGAAATTTTCGATTACTGTTCGGAAGTGCATCTTATATATAGCCGATTCAACCAATATATAAGATAATGTTGCTGTTAACTAATCATTACTATGTTTGTCAATCTTCAAGTGATTATTCAGAAATGGAAATAAACTACATATCTCAAATTTTGATCCAATGTATGAAAGGCGACAATATGAATGACTTAAATAATCAGATTTATGTGAATGTATATGAACCAATGTTTATTTATATCGAAATGTCCTGGAACTGTATGGTTAATTGAATAATCGAAACCTATCGAGAATGCGCGATTATTTTTTAAATTTTTGATTACCATTCAGAAGTTCATCTTATATATGGCCAATTTAACCAATATATAAGATAATCTTCCTGTTAACAAATCATTACTATGTTTGTCAATCTTCAAGTGATCATTCAGAAATGGAAAAAACAACATATCTCGAAATTTGATCCAATTAATGCAAGACGACGTTATATATGATTCAAGTAATCAGATTTATGTGAATGTATATGATATTCTGTGTATTTATATCGAAATGTCCTGGAACTGCATGGTTAATCAAATATTCCAAATGTAATGAAAATGCGTAAATATTTTTAAAAATTTCGATTACCATTCGAGAGTACATCCTATATATGTCCGATTTAACCTATATATAAAGCAATGTTGCTGTTAATAAATCATTACTATGTTTCTCAATTTTCAAGCTACCATTCAAAAATGGAAATAAACAACATATATCTCGAATTTTGATCCAATTCATGAAAGACGACATTATATATGATTCAAATAATTAGATTTATGTGAATGTATATGATCTGTAGTGTATTTATATTGAAATGTCCTGGAACTGCATGGTTAATCAAAAAATCGAAATTTAATGAGAATGCGTGAATATTTTTGAAAATTTCGAATAACATTTGAAAGTGCATTTTATATATGACCGATTTAACCTATATATAAGACGAATAAAAAATGTCCCGGAACTGACCGTTGGATATATATATATATATATATATATATATAATATATATATATATATATATATATATATATATATATATATATATATATTTTAATTAAGTTCATCAAAAATAAACATTAGGTACCTGCAACAGAGATGAAGTAACTAGGTCTCGCCTTTGACGGCAAGTTAACAGAGTCAAAAAAGCATACACTGCTTATTAACAATACCATCGAACTGTGGGGCGCACCTGCGGTTTCTCCCCCAGAGTCATCGCATGGACTATTCTATTCAAACATACAGTGCAGTTGTCTGGGTATCGAAAACCCAAAAATTAACAGCAATCCGTAAACTAGAATAAATTCAAAGAACAGCATGTCTCAACATAACAGGAGCCATGAAAACACTGACCAGAGTCATGGAAGTCATTCTTAGTCTCACTCCCCTTGATATTTACATGAAAAAAGTTGCTCTGACGTCAATGACACGCCTCCGCACGGTTGGAATAGAACCTAAAGTAGGATCTGGTGAGGCGAGACGTCGCTTTTGGCAGGAGGCGCTCGATACGCTCCAACTGCTTCAAGCGAACATGGACTCCATCTCACCGAGATATATTTTCCATAAGCCATATAAAGTTATGGCAAAACAAATAGAAGATTCGGAAGTGGCAGGTACGTTCCATATCTACACCGACGGTTCTAAAAAAAAACAAGGCTCAAGATGTGGAATATACTCTAGATTCTTAAACATAAACATATAATGGGCTGTGAGCAATAGTGCCAGTGTAGTTCAAACAGAGCTAATGAGGATTCTCATACCAGCAAAAGAAATCACCAGAAACAATATCACTGGAAGGAACATGCTCATCTATACAGATAGTAGACAAGCACTACTCACCCTGAACAGACCACGAATTTACTCAGGGTTAGTACTAGAATGTTACGAAGCTGTGGCCGAAGTATCCATCAACAATGTGGTACCTGAAGATGGATCAAAGGTCACGCCACATCGAAAGGTAACCGTCTTGCTTATTCACTGGCCAAGAAAGCAGCCAACCAAATACTTTTTGGACCTGGCTCTTCTATAGGCCCGTGACAGACCTAATTGAAGAACATTTCCTTGTGAAATTCAAGGAAAGATGAGGTGAAACAAGAAACTGCAGGGTTGCCAGGGAGCTCTTAAGTTATCCTGACAACACTGCAGCAAAAAAATACTTGACTATGACTAGATAGAATCTGCACCCAGTTACAGGCATTCTGACTGGTCATTGCCAAGTACGGAAGCATCTCCATATCATGGAGAAGATTTGTGTTCGGCGAGTATCAGCTAACACCGGCCGATATAAGAGTAGCACCTCTTAGCGACGTTGTCAACTACATTGAATCTGTAGACTGGCTCACGAGCTAGGAGGTGCCTATCATCTTAGGAGGATGCACATGAACCTAGTAAGGCCTAAGGGCTGTGGGGGTAACCCACCCTCCACACGTTACAGATATAGAGATAGGTACCTATAATTTCGTTTAAACCACATAATAAAAGATGTCGTGCGTTTAGTAAACAAACATTTTTAGATGTTTGTGTAGCATCCACATAGGTGAATATTTCCAATAAATTAGTCTTAAACACAGGATATTATATTTATGACGAAATCATGGGAAATAAACTTAAATTTTAACTAAATAAAACTCAAAAACACTTTTACAATGATAAATAATATATAATAATAGATAAAAAATCACAAATAGAAAATCCCGCACAAAATTAAGATAATGTAAATACCCCACTTATAGGTAAGAAATGACAGGTGCGCGAAAATTAAATTGAAACGCGAATTATTGTTGAAAATTAGACTTGTATTTTTCACCCGATAAAAGCAAAAATAAATTGATTTACACGATTGTACCTCTGACTTCAGACATGAAAAAACAAGTCGCCATTTTTTTTGTGGTACATTGTTTCAGTGTTAAATTGTAATTTTCTTTCGTTTTACATAGGAGTTTAGCTTATAGTCTACCGTGTAGAAATATATGACCAGAAACGATTTTGCCCAAAATTCAGTGAAATAGTATTTCCAAAGTATAGTGAAAATTTAACAAATTTCGACTAGGACAGGAATAAGTGATGACACAAGCCAGACGTACGAATTTACAGCTTCAATAAAACCAAATTGATTAAATAATACGTAACATTGGACAGATAGTGAAAACTTAACCAAATAAAAAGACAGTAGAAAACAGATGACAAACAAGTGATACTTAAAATTATAGAATGTAGTATAAAATTCAAATAAAAATCATTGATTTACCCTTTTTTGATCATCGTAACTTTTGTTTCTAATAGCTCCTCTTCCTTCATCGTTAAACACTCCCATCAAATACTCTGCTAAATGTTGCATCGCTTCTCCTAAAAATATACAAAAAGGCATATAGATTTAAAACTTGGTGAATGATTATTGTGTATATTTTACCTTCGTCTCTACATTCTAATAGTCTCTCTTGATTCCATTCTAACAATTGTAAGGCTACTTGGAAAATAACTTTTGCGCCATCATAGAAAAAACAATCCATAATATTAACAGCGCTTTCATAAGGCATTACGCATAAGAATATCGTCAGGAACCATGAAAGAGAGATCATATTGGTCATACCTGAAAGAAATGTAAAAGTCTATTTGAAAACTAAGATCGTGAAAATTAGTTTAAATTTCAAGTTTTAGCAAAACGTTAAGTTTTAAAAATTTGGACACTATGGTTATTTATATTTCAATTTTATGGATTCTGCTTTGTAGTCGTGAAAAGTGTGTAAAATGTGAATCTGATGCGAACCGCTAGCCAAGTTATTGTCTCCTTGGTCCAATGCTGTCGCTTTGATGACTGAGAGTCGAATAAATTTGCCGGCGTTTGTAGATATATCGCCAAAATCCACTTTCGCTTATTTGGCTTCACCGAACCTTTCTCTGATGATTGGCTGTTTAATTTGAAATTTGTTATGACATGTTATGCAATAATGCATAAGTAATTCGTATATTTTCGACGAAAATTTTAGATCTTTATTACTTACCTAACTGGTTTAATTTGTCATGAAGATTTGGCAAATGTTCAAGGGTAAGTTCATCTAATATTCCTTGATCTACTACAGCACCTACCACCCTAGTATTGTAATAATCAGGAAGGAGATTTTCGCACAGAGTGGCCAATAACCAAAAAGCTTCTTCTTCATTACAGTATATCAAAAGGACGGAGGCTGCAATAAATGTAATTTTTAATATAGATCCAACAAATATGAAACAATATATTTACCAACTATGTTCATAGCTTGACAGTAACCGATACTAGGATTATGCAGAGCATAGGCACAAAGTACACGTCGCAAAGCATCTATTCCTATAGGGCTTTGGAATGCCGGATGTTCAGGAAGAGAACGGTGAAGGTCTCTTTCAATTTCATCGTTTGCTGTTGATTGTTGGACTAGAGCTTTATCTACCAGCTGACGGTAGTAACCAGGATGAGAAGCTTTTTCGTGAGCAGCACCAGAAAACGACAACCATATTTCCATTCTTAAATGATCCGGAACACCTTGTAACACGAGCGTAGCCACCTCTGTGGTTCTGTACATCGATACACCTCGTCCGTATATATTAAAATGATCTTCCCAATCTCTAGCCTTAATAGATTGCTTCCTATATACATCAGGAATCGGGCTCAGCGGAAACGTTTTCATAAGAGCTGGTTGACATTTCCAACTAATATCTGTTTTGGATGTATTACCATCACCGCTCGCGTTTGTGATGTGTAAACGTTCTTTTAAATGACTTCTGTAATATAAAATAACACAATTTCTAGAAATAAATGAGTTTTTAAAGTGATGTTAGTAAGCTATCAGTAATATCATGGTTTATCTCAATGTATAGTAGTTTAGGAATTAATAATATTTATATTTACTCTTTTTCTGGAATGACTAAGCCAATGGATAGTAAAACACGCTGGTTTAAAAAACACAATAACAGATTTTATTTACTGATTTGGAACATTGTATTGGAAATATTCAACTTTACATTTATATTTAATGCAAGCGAGAAGAATGGTGATAAATGTTGATGCTTACAAATGCGACTAGCAAAAAGTTCAAGATCTTACGAAATGGTGTAATAATTAGAGATATTAAAAAGTAATTTTAAGAAAAATAAGACAATAGGTATAGCTTAAAGTTAAATTTCAAAACAATTTTATGCAAGCCAAAAGAAACACTCAGATATTTCCAAATACATATGAAAGTTAACTAGCTCACCGGATACCCAAACTTATATACAATATATTTGCTGACAAAGATACCAAATCGCTACAATAATAAACCACAGAGCACCTAGCTCAAAACTAGCTGATTTAGCTTTAGCAACACTTTAATGTTAGAGCAACGTCTGCAAAAGTATATTTGACTGACACTGGAAAACACCTAGGCAAGCTATCGTGGAAAATTGGTCGAGGGTGGGATCTCAACGGCGGACGCCAATTACGAAAATATGACTGAATACAAAATTATAAACAATTGATAGGAACAACATTTGGGTGGCGCTGTCATGATTGGAAGAGGCGTACTAAGATATCTGTAAAATTATAACATTGGGTGGTCGGCGTTTCGCTCTACTTGTAATAAGGTTTCGACTCGATCCATCTGCTCGACGATATATTTTTGGGAAAAACAGTTCCTTTTTGTTTTGTGTGTTAGTTGAAAACGTGAGTTAATGATACAGTGATTTCCCGGTCAGTTTGGGATTACTTGAGACTAATCTTGGAATAAGTCAGACTTAAGGTCTAACTAACATAGAACAACTGGATTATTTTGTAGTAATTATTATACCTCTCAGTTTATTTTTGGAAAAGTTATGTAATTTTACTTTATTTGAGAGTAGCACTTCATTGCTGAATAACTACTACAAGGGTGGAGACTGTGTTTTGAAAGAAGGTTCCTATATTTTTTTATTTATAAATGTCAGGGAGGAATATCGCGCATGGTGTCATGGCGGCGCTGACGTCATGCATAGAGTTAAAACAACTTTACTTAGAGGTGAAAAGATTAGCCCTAAGCCATAAAAATTACTTAATTGCGAATTGCGACGCCCGAGCGAGATGCATTGTGATAATAGAGAGATGAAATATGGTACTACTGTTTCGTATGTTTTGTGTGATTCACGTTATATTTGATTGCGTAGTTAAATGTGTTCTGATGTAACAAACTTTCGTTGTATTTTGAAATGGTGATTATAATTAAAAAAAGATAACATTCTGGGTATATTTAATGTCAGATGTCAAAACAATTATATCAAATATCAACGCCAATTTGACATTTAAAACATCAATTTTATAGAGTCTTTCATTACAATGTTTAACTTACATTTTGGGTTCTTTAGTTTTCGCCAAGAGTTCTGCAATTTTCTCCACTAAAAAATCCCTGTCTAAAATTTGTGCAAATATAAAATTTGTTCTGTTCAAAGCGTCACCAGTAGTAACAATAATTGCTTTGTCCAATGGCTGGTTTGCTACATTCGTTTCTATTTTTTCCGTTACTGACATGTCTCTAAATGGAATAACGAGACTAACTTGAGCTTTGACCTAAAAATAAAATATCTGTTATTTTTGCAAAGGTGTTGCATTACAAGAATTTTCTTGCTTACCCTACTTTCAAAACAAATATAATTTTGGGACAAAAATAGCCTTCCACTGACATGCCTCTTATTGTAGGGAGTAAACAAAGTACAATCTATTGAACCATCTAGTTTTTCAATAGTTGGTAATCGAAACATCAATCTGTAAGCCTCAGATTGTGCCCTTGCATCCAAATCTCGTTTTAGGAAAGAAGCTTTTTTGGGTACATTTTTACTAAAAAAAAAAGAACAATTAAGAACTAATACTAATAATTCGAGATGTGGTTACCTTAATTTATTAAGCAGTTCTTTATCTTCACTATAACTTCGTTTTTCATCAATTAATCTGCAATTAGATAAGTATAATTATTATGTATTTGACTCTACAGTTAAGCAACTTTTGTTTTACCTTTTCATTGCTAAATCTACGAGCTGCTCCATTAGAGAAAAAGTTTCGTTTCTGCTTAGAAACATGCTGAAATTGTATTCTTTTTCTCTCGTACAAATCTGTATGGAATCTGGAAGAATGACTCCATTTTTCTTGTTGAGACTTGTAACTTCTGACCATCTTATACAAACTTTAGTGTCAAGTCCAAGAATGAAGGCGTGAAAACAGCAATAATTTATGGATAAGTACATCCAACCTTGACGTGGCAGTTTACCTTTCCAGTAACTAGAAAATGATTTTAATAGAATATTAAAAAATAAGAATTCTTTGAATATAAATTGGCTTGATTAACTATGCAGGTAAATACTGTCTTGTGAGCCATTTTTAATCACTATTTTTTTTAAATAACCCAACTTCTGTCACCAATGTTATACTCTGTTTATTTTAAACAATTTAATTATTCTAATTTGTATTCAAAAATACACCAATTTATTTGTACTTAAAACTACACTAATTTATATTTACGTTAACAATTTATTTTTACTAGATAATATTTATTTCTAAACTTAACAAACGGTAAAAATTCATTTATTTATACAAAAAAAGCAGCGCTTTGAATAATTCCAAGTATTTATCACATATACTATATGGGTTCTGGCAACACTCCCAGTCATAGAGTTAGAAAGTATGGCTATAATCATCTTTTTTAAACATTCAAACAGTATCACTGGGCGTGGCTTATGTAGACTCAATAAGGCCGATCCGCCAGAACCTGACTATTGGGAATGCAACCCAAACCTACATTTTTATTTTTTTTTAGGAAATATAAGTTAATTTATTAATTGTTATAAAACGGATGATTAAGGTTATAATTAATAACTGATTTTCAATAATTCCACATATTAACAAAATAAGTTTTATGGAATAAAAAATGTGTGGAAGATTTTGTTACATAGTATTTTATAGAATAATTAGAAAGTCTACAAGTTTTATTTTATATATCATCGTTTAACGTAAGTGTTATTTTAGATCATGTATAGCACAAGTAGAAGTTGGAAAGGCTTTTGGTAGATAGAGGGGGTAAACGTCAAACCGCATCGGACGGCTTCGAGAATTTCGCAGTAATGTTTATCTGCTAGTGTCGTTTCATAGAATAAGTAATTTTAAATTGTTACCGGCGGAACCGGACAATCGCATGTATTTATGGACTATAAATAATTATTAAACATGTATTTTAATATTCAAATCATAATTTTACAAAATTTCAACAGCTATTCAGAATTTATTAAACTATTTACTCGAAATTGTTATTAACATCTATAAAATAATTTTGTACGCCAATGTATTGCGTCCACTTCGATTAGATCCGCCGCAAACCTGTCAATTTTTGTGTACAAAGTGGGAGAACTGGCAAAAGCCTTTCCAACTATAAATAATATGTCGTTATGTCTTTGGTTATAATAGGAACACTTATGAACCTATTTATGTTCAATTGTGTAATGAAATACGATTATTATAAATGAATTTAAGAAACTATTAAGAACATAATAATTAAGAAAAATACATAATGTCGTTGAATAAAAATAATTTATTAAAATGATATAATTTTGATTTTTATCCTACACCATCTTTCGATTAATAATCAAACTTTCAATAATAAGTTGTTTTGGTGGTTTTGAGAAATCTGTAAAGTATTTCTAAATATTCGAACAAATGATTGCGAATAACGAGAAGACGGAAACGAAAAAATCACAGTCATAGTTTGGTAGCATCTTTAGTAACAGTCGTTACCTGCTACTTTTTAATATCAGTGACAGTTCGTGAAATAAAGCTACTCCCTACCTCCTTCTACCTCCGTGCTTCCAGCGTTCGCTTCACCGTTCATAAACTGGCCTTCTGCTTCGTCGAGAACTGGCGTATCGGAAAGTAGTTTTGGAATTGACTTGCTATATTAGATATTCTTTGAATATTTTCGGTAATCGGACAAGTGGGGTCGTAAAAGGTAGAGAGGAGGGACTAGATTTGAGCATGACCTGACTGGTCGAAAATGGTTCGCATGACAAAACCAATAGCAACATATACTTGATATTCCTATCCAAAAATTAAGAACATTTCAAAAGCCAAATAAATGTTTATGTTAAAACATTAGGGTATTGGTCCAACTTAGCTGATAAAGTAAATTTCGGGATTTATGTAAGATATTTATCAGTTCTTTCAGAACTTAAGGCACTTATTTTGTAAAATGTTTGTACATAGATTTTATAAAATATTTGCTTTAAATTCTCATTAATAATAACTAAAAACTAAGAGACATTTATTTATGCTGTAATGTGCTTTGGAAGCTATATAGTAATTGTTCTGCATATATTTCAAATGACTGTCATTCATATTTTTATATTATCCTGATAGGAGTGATATATGAATAAATATTTAGAGAGCACTCAAGGCTAGTTATTAGTAGGTGACATTTAATAAAATATTTTAGGCGATATCCTAAAAATACATCCTAACAGCTTCATATGACATCTTGTAGACTATATCATTGTCCACAATATGAATAGATTTGCCTTTCAAAGTAAACGGAAAACCTCTTTGGCTCATTAAAAATGTATTGTTAAGTGTAGCATGGTTGTTCTATACAGGATGTCCGGGAAAATGTGGGAGGTCTCTCAGATTCAGATAGAATATTAAAAAATAAATTTTTCCTAGCCGCCCTCCCTACGGAGATACGGCCTCCAAAAGGACGCCACTGGTGGTAGTGCATATTCGAGGAGTTATATTTATTGTGTAGTATATTAGGTAGGTACTTTAAAAGTTTATTAATTAGTAAAATATTGGTGTCTTTATAAATGAAAAACAATTTAATAGTAGAATTATATTGTTACAATAGTAATGGATTCATTTAATTTGCCAATAGTTTTTATACGCCACTGGCGTAATACATTTCGGCAATAAACATGCATTTGGCACGTGATACCGATAACTTCTGCAGTTTTAAGCGCGTGATTCCATTCATTATGCTCTGGTATAGTACGATGATTGTACGTAAACTGGGATGAGTCACCTTCTCCAATATTTTGTTCGAGTATAATCGCAATATTCCAAAGAGAAAACATTTCAGCGACTTGACCAACGTCTAAGAGAGACTGGTGGGCGATTCCCAGTTAATAAGGTATTACTGACTTTCTTTAATAATTTTTTGGAAGTTTTGGGAAAACAAGTACTGATGCTGGTGTGACAAGAACTGTACGTACGGTGCAATTGGACGAAAATATTTTGAATACTGTAGCTGATACTCCTTCAATAAGCACTCTAAGATTAACCGCGCAGCTTCATGTGTCAAAAACGACAATTGCTAAAGTACTTAAAGAACAGTTGTTATACCCTTATCATCTGCAAAAAGTGCATCAACTACTTCCTGAAGATTTTCCTCAAAGAATCCAGTTCGCAAACTGGCTGTTAGATCAGTAACGAACAAACGGAAACTTCATTAGCACTATTCTTTTTACCGATGAAGCAGGGTTTACCAAAACTGGTATTGTAAATTTACATAACTTGCATGTATGAGCTGATGAAAACCCTCATGCCACTGTTGTTCATCATTATCAACATCAGTTCCAATCAATTAATGTTTGGGCAGGAATAATCGGCAATTTTTTGATTGGATCATGCGTGTTACCGCCACGATTTAATGGTGAACTTTATTTACAATTCCTTCAGAACGCTTTTCTAGATTCAATAGAGCATTTGCCACTTGAAACCCGCCGAAGCATGTATTTTATGCACGATGGAGCCCCCAAATCACTTTGACGACGCTGTACGGGACCACATGAATAACGTCTATCGAAACCATTGGATAGACAGAGGAGGTCCAATTGCCTGACCTCCACGGTCTCCCGACCTAACGCCAATAGATTTTTACCTGTGGGTTCATCTCAAAACCTCCTCTCCGGTTGATACTAGGGAGTAAGTAACTTTTACAGAGAATCACATTTCATTGTGATGTGATAAGGAATAAGGCTGGGTTGTTGTGGCGAGTACAGCAGTCCTCTATTCATCGGGCCCGCGAGTGTATCAGAGTTTACGGAGCACATGTTGAACCCACTTATAAAGTTTTTAATTGATTATTTCTAATTAGCGTATTTAGGTATAATCGTTACAAGCTTTAGTAAGTTCAGGATGAAAACATAATACTCCAAGTTCTATTTTAGAATTTACCCATTTGAAATTAGCTAATTCTGGGAGTTTAATTTTTTAATAAAAATAAAACATTAATTCATTAATTTTTTTTCTCGAAAACGGTTCATTTTATCGACAATGAAGAAGAGTACCATTTCTTTAGCTTAATGTTCAAGGTATCGAAATTTACTTTTTTTTAACTCCTTATCATACAGGGTGTTAAAAATGTAAGCATTAAAATGTACAACCTAGTCCGCCCCTGGTAAACTAAACAAGCTAATTATGTCTTAAAGGCAGTATTTTAAGAGGTTCTTAATATTGTGTATCATATTAAATTTTCATTAAATTATATTACGTAGTTTAAAAGTTATTCAAGAAAAATTGATTTCCAGTGGCGTCCTTTTGGAGGCCGTATCTCCGCTAGGAAAAAATTGATGGGAACTTGTCATCTTATTTTTTAATGTTCTATCTGAATCCGAGAGACCTCCAACATTTTCCCGGATACCCTGTATATACAGGGTGGCTCACGCTCAACGGGACGGAGCTTTATGGGAAAACGACCGAAGATATAAAAAATTCGTTTGGGAGGAATACGTAGGTTACAGACGGCTACAATTTAAAATTTGTTAGATGTATACAGGATGTCCCACATAAGAGAAAATATACAAAGTTATATTATTTTTAATGGAACACCCTGTTTTTTATTTTAGAATTAAAAACTACATCAAAAATAATATCAGTTAACTAAAGGTTCCCTATTACTATTATTATTAGTTTTCGATTTATTTGAATTTTTAAGGAAAAATAGTCTCCCAGAAATTAATTGTTTACTCTTGTTTGAATAATTTTTAATGAACTAATTTTTTTTCTTCTTATGTGGGACATCCTGTATACATCTAACAAATTTTAAATTGTAGCCGTCTGTAACCTACGTATTCCTCCCAAACGAATTTTTTATATCTTTGGTCGTTTTCCCATAAAGCTCCGTCCCGTTGAGCGTGAGTACACCTACTGTACTACATAAAATCTGTGACTGCGAAATTCTTAAACAGAAGGCACACATACCAATCAAGCCTACTAAAAAAGTATTAAAAAAAGGACATAGAGTCCAAGAGGTCACACTCTAAAAATCCAAGACTAAATTAAAAGGAAACAAGAAAAGAATACTGCAGAAAACTGGGAATAAAAATATAAATCTTGGATATTTTATGTCCATATAATGAAGACAAATAAAGTTCTAATGAATTATGTATAAATAAATAAAAGTCAAATCTCCTCAACAAACATTAAAAAGTATATTAAAAAATAATAGATTCCATCAAACTTGTTAGTATTCTCTGATTGTTTAGTTTTACATATTTCATAATTTTAAAGGTCAGTGTTATTAGGAAGATCTGGTTATTACACCGAATCAAATATGCTATTATTAAATAATCTATTGGAAAATATTCAATCATTAATGAGGTTTTTAAAAATAAAATGTATTACCCCAGGTCAAGGCGATTCAATTATTTTTCATAACATAATTGATATTTTATTACATTTATTTACCTCTATTTCCTGTATTGAACTAAAATAACAGTTTGTTATTATTTTTTGTAAACAAAACAGTATTACTTTTTTAACGACTTTATCTATAATGGAACAACTGATAAGACACGAATTACGTTTATACATATGCAAACAAAATATAAAATTGTGAAATTGTACTTCGTTTCTAAAATTATTAATAAAACTATTTAGATAGTAATGCTATTAAATGACTACACAAATATATTTATAATTTGAATTAATTAGATATTATGACATCTTTGTTAAATTATTCAATGAAAAGAATAGGTACATGATGTTTTTATTGAAGTATTTTAAAAGTAGCTTTTAATAAATAAAATTTATCTGAATTTATACACTTTACTCTTTTTTCATATATTTAAACAATATAAAAATATTGCTATTGTTATTAGTTATTCTATTAAACAAAATACTCATAACAGTGAGATTTGAATAAATATTTGGATAAAAAAGTAACATAGATATTTGCCAATCAGATAAAGTTTGTGATGATTCATACAACTAAATATTGAAAAATGCTAATGAAAAGATAAGAACTGCAATCAAAAAATACACATAATTTTTGTAGAATCTACAAAATGATGTATTAGTGTGTCAAAGTTACATATATCTGTTATAATGCAGAAAAAAATTATTTATGAAAATTGTAGGCAGTTAAATGGTAACATCATTGAGTCTGATTTATTAAATGACCTGCTTTATCCCTTTGATGATTCAACTGATCATCCAAAATTTCCATGCAAAAAATAAGAATTACTTAACGAGCTCATAAATATGTTAAATAAATAAAAACAAGTAAAGATACAACTTTTATATAAATATAACAAATTAAATACCTACTTACCTACAAGAATAATAATTCACCAACTTTTCATCCCTAGCCAACTGAAAAAGTCGATGGAACTTCTCAGTTGTCACCTTAAATGAAGTCGTGTCTTCATCTGAAGTTAAAAAATTAAAAACTACAATATATTAGTTAACACACTGATAGCAATACTGTTTATAATAAATATTTATATTATACTCGTAAATAAATAAGTAATACAAACAAAAACGATTATATAATTTTTGCAAAATGATATAATTACACTTATGTATATCTGCAATATAAACAAACATATTAATAAACCAATCAATATAATAAAACATGAATTTAAAATTGATTTGGTTAATTTTTTTTAAAGCAGGATTCTTAGATTCATTTTAAACATTTATATTATTAAGAATAAGTTAAACTTAAAGCAAAGTACAAAAAGGTAAATCAATTGTAAAAATAAAGTAGAGCAATAATCACTAACCTTCAACTTCGACATTTTGTCTTGTTGCTATCACTGATTCAATTTTGCATGAGACAAATTCTGTTATATCATCTTCACTATCAAAAGAATGCAGGGTTTCTGAAACATTGGTGAATAGCCAATCCCAATCTTCCAAAATTTCTTTTCTGGTCATAGCACAAGCAATTACTAAAAAAATACTACTATAACCAAAACCAATTCAACTTCATGAACAAGAGGAGTACAATTTTATTATTATTGTCTTTATAACTGTAGAGCAATTATGGCCTAAATAAGTGTTAAATGAATGAATATAAGATACAGTGAGGAGACTTCACTCTAGATATATTCGGCTGCAACCTCTTTGGTTAGGGTTAGCATCCTCATCAGAGTCTATGGCCAAACTTTAAAATAAGAAATAGGCCAATAAAGCCTTTAAGAAACATATAAATTAAAATATATGTGATTAATGTAACTAAAATTATAAAGAGAAAAATAATTAAAGCATAAAACCAAAATGAGGCAATATAAGAAGTAAATCAAGTCGACGACATAGTGGATGTTAATGTGATACATAAGCAATCTATTAAGTACATAGTAAAGAGGATACATGAGGGTTTTAGATCAGAACAGTTTACACTTTTTACATTATATCATGGATATTGAATTCATATTAAATTCGTACTTACAGTAATACACTTCCGAAGATGGAGTTTGATGTAAAATCCTATATGGAGCAGGTTTTGTATCAAAAATACTATCCATAGTTCCCACAAGTAGTGATGACAATCCTTTAAAGTTGCCATGGCCCTTTCGATGTTGCAGTACAAAATATATTGAAGATTTTTCAGTCTCCCTATAGTTAAAATTGATATACAATTAGATTTAATTCAATAATGAAATGGTAAAATAAGTTTCTTGAAGACTTACCAAAACGCGTTAGCGATAAGAACTTCTTGTGGCTTTACAAACATCTTTTTCTCAACTCATACAAAGAAAATTTAATCAAATCAATCAAAAATTGATAATATAAAGTTTAAAAAGTAAATAAACATTGTTGAAATACATTCTATGTGGAATAATTGTATATAATCGTCGCTTTAAAAGAAATCACAAATTATTTAATAATAAAATTAAAGATAATTAACAGGGAAATCGTAAAAAATAAACATTCACAATTCACAAGACACTATAACTACAATCTTTTGATAAGAAAGAAGTAACCACAAATTTTGACATGTTGATATAAATCAGCTGATAAGAGAAATGTCACTGTCACTGGTGGCTGGCTACGAGATACACTCCGTAAAAATTATGAACTGAAGCTTTTTAACTAATAGGCTGTACTTAAACTGGTGTTTAACGGTCGTGAAAATATCAACCCGTATTGACCCGTAGGTACCTGGCTACGCCAGCAGGCATAGATTTCAACGGCCTGGACACAGCTCAAATTGAAATGAAGTCTCACATAACATGAAATCACTTCGGGAACCAAGTTCACCTTCCGGCCAGACGCTTTATTTGACGGCATTTTAAGTACACAACCGTTTAACGGCAGTTTAAATAAGTATCATTCTAAGTAATAGCACAAGACTTAAAAATATTGATAATGATATAAAATTGAAGTAGGTATGGTGATTAGTAAGACGCAACATTATCTACTGCGCAGAATCTTGGAATCAGTGACTGGTTTCTGATCGGTATTGGAACAAACCTGATGTTACATAACATGAATATAATAATATGCTGTATTCAAGGGAGGCACAATTATTTTTTAATAAAAATGTATTTTTAATAAAGTTACTGCCTTCGTACATCTAATCACAACTAAAAACTTAAAAACGATATGACGAGACACCTAGACGTTAAAAAAATAATTATGATGAAAATCAAAAGTAGATTACTGTCACAACTAAACCCGTAGTTGAACCATACTGTGAGAGATGGCGCAGTTAATTGAAGAGATTTTTGTATATTTTTAAATGGTTTCTTTTGACGAGCAATAAAAAACATCAATTCTAGATATTTATTAATAATAATCTCCCTACAATTCACCCCCTTACGAGAGGGATCTCTAGAAGAAGAGCGTTTGCGGGGGTTTAGATTTACAGGGTGTAACAAAAAGGTATCAGTACAGGAAATACCTAGGTAAATCATCAAGATCTGAGATCTGAGGGTGCAGTACCAATAAAACAGAAAGTAGAACTCAGTTTAAAAGTCATGGGTATAAAAACAAATCTTAAAGAATCTGGTTAAATAGAAAAATGATATTAAAAAACGACGACAAAACAGAAAAGGACATAAAAGTCAAAGATGATGTTCGCGAAAATTGTTCCCATTGTACTGTAGGGGATGGGGTTCAAGGCAAGGGCGGACCTAGATAAATGAAGTATTATTAATTTATATATGGGGACAGGATAAGGAAGGGTAATTCGGCACAGGAAACTATATCTCGGTCCAAATTATTGACTCCCCACCCAGCTAGCACAAAACATCCCATCTACTTTAATAAGCTGCAATTTAAGGCTCTTTAAGCTCGCATGCAATGTACTTTTAATGTAACCCTAATATCCCTGCAACCGCCCAACAACGGCAAGACTTTTATAGCACATCTCACAGAGGTTACTGAAGTTCGAAAAATACCATACTATCACTTTTAGGGCACTTGCACCGAAAGTTGCTCTAAGATGTTCTATAGATGTTATAATGTGAATTAGTTCTACAGCATTATATAGTGTGTCTATTTATTTTAAATTAAAAAAAGTAAATCTTCACAATATCTTCTGCTTGTTAAATAAATACGATTTACATTGTGAGAAATGAAAAATACCATTTTTACTTTCCTATCTGTATACAGATATAAGGAAATTATAGGAATCATGATTTTTTTCGACCTCGAGTTTTCGACGGATTTTTACGTTTTGAGGTCCCCTGAATCCGTTTTGACTATTTTCGCGATGATGTCTGTGTGTGTGTGTGTCTGTGTGTCGCATAACTCATAAACCGATACACAGAAAAACACCAAATTTTAAACTTAAGCTTTGTTCCAGCGTCCAATGTGCTGATTAGATTTTGGGCAGTGTCGGAACATCTGGGGGGGTACTTTATAGGCGGTCATTTTTATATTTTATGAAATATATCTGTTATTTACGTTTGGGGAAGAAAATTTTTCAAATAAAAGTTACTTCTTATATTATTATCTATAATTTTTGTTATATACAAAATTTTCCTAAAATGGTCCGTATTCGAGAAATTTGACAAAATGTAAAAAAATATTTTTTTTAAAAATTGTTCAAACAAAAGTTGTGTGTAATATAATTCTCTACAATTTTTATCCCATACATAATTTCTCTAAAATGGACCGTATTCGAGATATTTGAGAAAATGTGTAAATTTCGAAATTTGAAGAAAACTCAAAAACGGATAAAGAAAAAAACATTAAATTTTAATCTTAAGTTTTATTTCGGCCTGACGTGAAATGATTAGATTTTGGACAAAGTCGGAACATCTCGGGGGTACTTTATGGGGGGCCGTTTTTATATTTTATGGAATATATCTGTTATTTATGTTTGGAGAAAAAAATTGTTCAAATAAAAGTTATTTCTTATATTATTATCTATAATTTTTGCTTTATGTCAAAATTTCCTGAAATGGTCCGTATTCGAGAAATTTGACAAAATATGCAAAATTCTGATTTTTATGAAAATTGTTGAAATAAAAGTTGTTTGCGATATCGATCTCTATAATTTTTGTTTATACATGATTTTTCTAAAATTGACCGTAATGGAAAAATTGTAGGAAAAGTGCTAAATTTAAATTTTTCAATATTTTCATTTTCAATTAATATCTATAGAAAAATGTTTCGAGGTAGATGTATGTGGAAAATGTATATATTTATTTTATCCTCTAAACATTTATGGAGGTGCTGCAATAGGTTGTACAAAATAACCGGAAAAAGCCTGTAATAACTAGATAGGAAAGTCATGTGTTGGACACATCAGATTTTTTTAATTTAAAATAAATATTTTTACAAGTATAATTAAGTATATCCGTGGAGACACTATATTGTTCTTTGTGTAATGTAATGCAGAGAGGCTGAAATTGAGGTTTTAGTAAAAAATCTCTATCGAGACATTAACATTTCAAATAAAACAAAATATTTATATAAATTTATTATTAAAATATTCTTGAAATCAAGTACCAATATCACAAAAGTAGAGGTAGGTATATCACAACCGCAATTACACATGTGCGATAGTAGAACCTAGAACCACAGCTTTATTGTATAAGCTGTGCTAGAACCTACCTATAAAGCACTGAACGATTGGACAAAATCAGCTAAATAGTATAATAAGGTACTATTGGTACCAATATTGCAAAGGTTCACTAAAAGCTTAAATGGTGAACAATTGTACAAAAGTATATTTATATAAGGTATGTTTTAGAGGTTCACAAGATTTTTTACCAAGATGGCAATTGTACGAAGTAGATCAGTGAATAATAATAGACGACTGCAACAATGACTAGGTACATATTATACTGATTTCTTACCTGTAGACGCAGAGATATATCGTATTTTTAAATCAAGCCTTTTAACTTTTTTTGTATAGATATGTACCTATATTTTTATTTTGTTAGTTTATTATTTATGAGAATGTGATAAATATTCTTTTATTGTAATCATATGTGGCTTGGAAAGGAAATACTTTTATTTATGCTATAATGTAACATAAATATATGACAATTTATTAGAAAAGGGTAAATTATATTTTTATACAACAAAATTTTACTTTTCTACAATATATTGAATAAAAAACATATTGACCTACTTGTTTAACTATTTTTAAAGTAAATGATATAGAAATCAAAAATTATGCTCAAGTTTAAATCGTTACACTTATTTTTAGATAAAATTGTTTTAATTAAAACGACCAATGTTTGTATTGAAATTTTTTTGAATTTTACAAATTTTATGCTTGATTATGGATTTCCAAGTTAGGTATGCAGATTTTATAAAAAACAAATAATGTTTTATAGCAAGATACTCGCTGCTGTGATTTCTCTCAACTTTTCTTCTGGGTTTGTACTTGAACTGATGGTTAGATTTCCAGATACATTTAAGCCTGTTGAAAAGAATGAACTGCTTGAATTTCACTTTTTTATAAAATTTCAGATGTTACATATTCTTCTTTAGACAAGTTTGTAGTATTTACTTTTGCTTCTAAAATTTCTAGATTGTCATCGGGTACAAAGGAAATCTAAAATATAAGTATTTGGTGTAAAATGTAACGAAATTCGGTTAAATGTTTCTTCTCGTTGACAACGATTTATTCTTTGTTTTTATTGTAGTTAAACCATTTTGTATTGGGTACCTAATGAATAAAATATTAAATTTACACCGGGCATTGTAATCTGAAACAAAGACAATGGTTTAGAAAATAGTTTTCTACTTTATAGAGGACCTTACCAAATCTACTTAATTGTATAAATAATAATTATTTATAAAATAAATTCTCAAAGTCAAAAAATAACCACAAAAACATGACAAATGACAAAAAGTGACAATTGACATGAACATAAACGATTCAAATTTTTGATGTTTACAGTACCTCTCGTGGATATGTTTTTAAGCAAATTACTTTATTACGTTAGGTTAACATAACAGGTAGGTTAAATAGATAAGTAACAACTTCTCATGAACGTTGCATTGACGTTGTATAGTAGTGTTATTACGTTCCCTTAAAGCAACATCGCCGAAAGGCTTGGCAATGTTATGTGATAGCTGGGTAGTATTGCATTCGTGTCGATGAAATAATCATTTTCTTACTTTTCTTCACGTTCCCGATCATTCTAAATCCAAAAATATGAAAAAAATTGTCAATATGTCTGTGCGTACCTATGATAACTCTAGAATGAAAGCTGCGATCAACTTTGCGGTTTTGATTTTCGAAGATACCTAATTTCTTCTAAGAACCCAATTGGGTTTAACTTTAGTTCTTTAAAAATTAATATTTTTAAAATACAATGCATTTTTTTGTGGAGCTTTATTATGCACTACAATATCCTTGCACCCTTACCGATTCCACCATATGGATGGCCTATGTCTTTCACTTGTGAAACCAAATTGTTGTCGGGGTCATTTGGCCGACATTCAGTTGCCCACCCGACAATTCGTTTTGCCCGACACCGTTTGCCCGACAATTCTTGCATTTATCCGACAGGTACGTTTTCCCGACAACTCATATCTGTCTATAACGAGTGGAGGGTTGCCCCCAACGACACTTAGGCCTCACTAAACCCACTGTGCATGCTACTTAATAAATGATAGGTCCTTCTTAGGTCTTAGTTCGTCAGCCAGCTTACAGATTTGATGTAGTTGACGAAGACGCCAAGAGGTGCTTCTCTTATATCGGCCGGTGTTAGCTAATACTCGCCTACAAATTTTCTAATAAATGAGAACGTTTGAAAATCTTAGAGGATATGCTCGATGGTCTCATCTTGTATGCACCCCCTGCAAAGTGCGTATTCTGACAGCCCCAGGCTATTGAGATATTTTTCTGATAACTGCTTTTGCTGCTATGAGATTCCCCGTAAGTTGGGTTTGAATTAAACTGACACTATTTTATACTTTGGATTAAGGATCTGGAGTATGTTTCACATCCACAACTTTGTTTTGTGTTAGAACCGTCGGTGTAGAT